TAGTGAAAAAAAAACCATAGATAGTATCGATAGTGCCATCGATAGTTTGCTATCACTAATACACAGACGCAAGGATATCATCACTAATGACGGTGACTATGTATATACGAGTATCTTACTGAAAACATTGCGTACAATAAATATTATTATATATATGAATGTGCAAAAACGGATTTCTTTTGAATCAGACTGTAAAGTTTTTGCGTTCACATTGTCGCTTGACTGTTTGTACAAATAAGACCCCTCTTTCTACTCTGGACTCTACTGTTGTCAACAGTTCGCTGCGGAGAGAGGCGAAGGTGCACATCGGATTACTATACTTAATACTTAGATCGTGGAGAATCATTTTGTTCAATTCTTGTTGAATACACGAAATATTTAACAGACTTGTCATTGTCTTAGCGGAAAGGTTATGTAAGCATTTTCTAAAGCATGAGTATCCTCAAATTTCTCAAGTTATTTTAATTTCAGCAAAATATATTTAAAGTCACTGTAGCTAGCCGCCTAGCTATTTGTTCGAGGATGCGTTGCGCCAAGGGTTGTATTATACTTCTTTTGAGTAAGCCACCGAGTGCAAATATGTACGCACTCACCTCTCTCCCTCTCGCTCGCCTACACTTGAATAGATGCTAGACACGGAGCTAGTGTTCCGAATTCTCAGAGCACGCAAAACGGAAACATTTATTCTCAGTTCAGCTGAGTGTTTAGCTGAAGAAATTACTACCAACAACATCCCCATAAATAGAACAGTCCAAACGGATGCATTGAGAGACATCAGCCAACAATACGAATAAGACTGCAAATGTAAGCGCTTTCTAAATAGAAAACCAAAAGATGCAATTGCAATCATTAAGTTGGCTAAACATACAGAAATTCATTACTAGCAGGTATAAATTAAGTATTTTAGTAGAAAAAACTTAAAACCATAAATGGTATGCATATCACCAACATTGACTTGAGCTCCATGCCAGTTGGACCAAACGAAGACAAGTGCATCAATGCTCACATCAAACACAAGTGTACTCGCTCTCGTGCACCAATCGCCCAACGAACCCACATGAAATGGCAATAGAGAGAAATGGCCGAAAAGTGAAGCCGTGTTGCTGCAGCAGCGAAAATAAATGCATCCCCAGGCTGCCGAATTTGGTAATCGTATATAAAAATGTATCATTGGTACATAAGGAATAACTTACAGTAGTGCGCCTCTTGTCACTACTACAGTACACAACAACCGAAGTGAACATCAACTACACTAATGCAATTACAACTACAACTACATTGAACAACAACAATTACAACGACAGCGATGACTCTAACGATGACAACTAAGCCAGCTACACCAACTGCGTCGAGAACTGCACTTGGCCTCTGTGTACCTCGAGGTGAAGTGGAGTACATGTATCTACTAAGTAGTACATATTTAGATACGTACTCGTACATATTTATGTATGTATGTAAGTACAAATGCATATGAAACATGAAACTGATGGCCGCAATAAAATCAAACCAATATCCTTTAGTGGACACACGACTGACTTTTCGCATTCGTAACAATCTGCCATTGTGGTTTTTATGCCACAAAGAGGAGTGCGAGAGTAGGTATTTAAGTGAGTGGGGTTGGGCGCAAACAATTTTTTTTTTTTATAATGTTGTAGTATGCGAACGGGGTGGTGTGTAGGTGGTGAAAACAAATACAGCTAGTCGTGCAATGTACACATGTTAGTATGTATGCCAATATGTATGGGCACACAGCAGTTGGCAGGTATGCATTGCAATTTGCTCCGAGTTAAAATTACTTAAGATTTGCATATACTGGCACTTAGTTAGTACTCGCACCATTTGACCGGAGCGCACAGTATACGGGTGAGGCGATGATACATGCAATTTGCGTGAGCAGAGTTGCCAACAACATACAAATGCAAGAAGTGATATAAATAGCGTAGAAGGTTACTTGATTTTTTGACGTTAAAGAACAATTGTAGAAAAAAAATTTATTTTGAAATTAAGACAATGTACTACGTTTAACCCATTTTCATAATTGATTGCCAGATAGGGATCATTTGACATGTATGTAGATTAAGTTTGGTTTACTAAAATAGGAAAATAAAAATAGAAATGAAAATTTAAATTTTATGTTATTTTTAAAATTATAGTTTTTAATTTAAAAATATAAGTTTTTTGTTACTAAAATTAATTTTAAAAATTAGGTTAAATGACCTCGGTCCGTCTTTCAAGGTATGTATGTATACCGTTATTCCAGGCCGTCAAGTGTTAATAGGTAAATTTTTATAAATGAAAATTTATTTTTTTAAATAAGTAAACAATTTTTTATTTCAAATAATAACTTGTTTATTACTAAAATTTTATTTTAAAAGAGTTGGGTCAGAGATACCTGCGCGTTTTGAAGGTATGTCGATTTGTCAGTCTATAGTGTTAAAAGCTGTGAAAATATAGCTATTTCAACTGCTACATGAGCTGTTATTTTGAATGCTAATACAAAAACGAGAGCGAATATGACAGCGAAAACGAGTAAGAATATCAATACGAGAACGGATGCTATAGTTATCGATACATACACGCTTATAAAAATATCGATTCTAATTTCAATAAAATTTTGAAATAATACACCCATGATTTTATCGATAAAAAAACGACGATAAATAAATCGATCAGAATATCGAAATTGTTATCGATCGCAGTATTGTTATTTTCGATATAAATATTGATAAATATATGTGCATTTGATACCAATAAATATATCGAAATCGATAACAATCTTGATGAATATATCGATGAGTTAATAGAACAAGTATTGTTTCGTTGAAAATCAGCGCGAGTTTCAGAATTTCCTGCGGACTTGATGCACTTAAAGTCTGACTCATGGCGCGCAAGAAATCTCATCCCTCTATGCTGCCACTAAGTCAGCGCCGGTCCACAGTTCTCAAAGAGCAGAGATGTCGTGCTTGTATAAGCTGGCTGAGTTCTCGTTGGCGCAGAAAGCCAGTTTATTTCGGCAAACGTACGACAACGAGTAGGACCAGAAAACACTCATTGTAAGCCGGGCAGCGAACCCACCAGAACAGACTTTCGATTCTAGGTTAGAGGCACTAGATTCTGGGTTTTTCGAGGCAGCCATCTTCTTAGTCCAGTCACAGTTTTCAAAGAGAATGCTTTTCGACCGTTTTAACCACATACTTCACATCTTCAAGCAGCAATGGGATTGTTGCCAATAATTTTCAGCAAGTCTTGAAGCGGCTCTACGAAATCACTCCGCCCTGACTGTCGACTTCCTTTTTAATACCTTAACTACCCGGACGTGAGTGAATACTGCTACTAGCCGACTTGGTACAGTAGAGACTGTTGTTTTGTCCGTGCGAATTATGTCGGACTTGACATATCTGTCATGGAAGTAAGAATAAATATTCCAGAAGTTGCTGTATGAGTTGTGGGAGATTTGCTAGCAAAACGCGTATGAAGAATACCCGTACAAAAGCCACTTAAAGCCACTTTATTTTTTATGAATAAAAGTGTTAATGTCTTGTTTTGTTACGATAAAAAATTATTTATTCTTTTTTTCTATAAATAAATATGTACATATCGAGCCCTAACCGCCAAAATAAGTTAAGCGACATTTTTTTAGAAATTTTATTTTTATGCAGAAATGCATCTAGATGCTCTAGGAATATTTCTGCATCAAAAAGAAAATTTTGAAAAAAATGTCGCTTACGTTATTTTGGCGGTTAGGGCGCGATATATTTATTCAACAAACTGTGTGCCTGTTCTCAAAAACACTAGGAAATAGATGCAGTTTGTTTCTTTTGATCCTTTTTCAAATTTACAAATAGTTTGTCTTAAAATCCAACCCATGCGATTGAGAAAAGTTTAAAAAATAGTTGACGCTATATTATCATTAAAATTCTAATAATTATTTGTACTATTTCAAAACAAAAATGGTCTATGGCCGTAGACCCGGTGGCTGTTGGTGCAACAATATATCACGTGACTATCGGAGGGTTAAAGAACTTACATGGATACCCATTATGGTAGGAATTAAGGGGTTCTCTGAAGAAAATAATAAATTTTGAGCCCAATTTGTACATAAAATTTCATGTAAGATAATTTATTTGTGACTAAAAGTTTAAACTTTAACATACTGTAAATAAAAATGTTTTATGTGAAACTTTTCCTTTGCAGAAATACACGCGAAGGTTTGCCATGGCTTGCCGAGGGGCGACCGCTATCAGAAAAAAACTGGTTTTATGGTGGTTGGACCAGGAATCGAACCTGGGTCCTACTGGTTGGAAGTACGTAACTCTAAGCCATTTAGATATAAAGATACTATGGGTCCCTTGGTAACTCTTAACTAACACGGCTCGCCGCGATATTTTTTGTACTCTTGTTATTTATAATACGATACTTTTGTAAAGCAAACTGCAAAAGCTAAGTTGTACTACAAAATGCCTACTAATAGGTTACTAAATGTAGAAAAGAAAAACACCAACAAAGTTCGTGCGTATTAAGTGTTTTAACATAAACACTTCCACCCAATTGAATTGCTACAACCGAAGCGGTAAAAAAAATACATGGAAATATGTTAGAAAACCAAATCTGAAAGCAAAAATATTATTTGTCAAATTAGCAACAACTTTAGGGTAGTTGATTTACAATGGCTTCCTCCCAGCTCAAATGAACAAATGTTAAATCAAGCAAATTGTACGCTTGTGGAAAATGTTTGAACTTTTGATTTACTTAAGCGTACGCAAATGACCTTTTCGTGTATCGAATTTCAGCAGTCAGCATTATTTTAAATAAGTAGTTATATATGTATATATGTACATATGTATGTATATATGTATACTTGTAGGTGAGTATTGTGCTTCTTCTTATTCGGCGCTGTAGCCGCCTAAGTGATTTTGGCCGAATTCAACAAAGCACGCCAGTCGTTGAGTAGGTGAGTATTACTAAACTAATATTTATTTATTTTGTTATTTTTGACTTACCCTCTTTTGATTTTTCACACTGCTTCGGCGATGCAATCTTCTTTGCCGATATGGAACGAAGGGTGGTGTTTATGGGCTGTCAGTTGGTGAGGAAAGAAAAACAGAACAATTATTATCAAGAAAAATTAAAAAATATAGAAAGTGTGTATGTACATACATATATATGTAGGTTCATATTAGGGTATTCCTTAAAAATATCAAAATCGTGGGGCACCCCTTTAGTTTGCTTCAAGCACCAAGTAAATACATATACGAATATTTCAAAATTAAAAAGGTAAGGGCCGCTATCAAGTATTTTTCAAGCGGATATGTACGCTATGCCGAGACTAACTTACTTAGAAAATACGGTAATTTTACCCTTTAGCGACAGTCAGGCTTAAATAAAAGCTTATCTGTTGAGTTTGAGTTCTCTATTATCTTAGGGTGTATTAAGGGAAAGTGAACGTCTTGCTGAGCACCATGGTTTCTGACGAGTTTAGGCTATAGGTCACAAGGGAATTGAGGCGTCTGAGGTAGCGAAAAGTTTAGCCAGAGTGGCAGCGGTCTTAACTTTCACATGGCCTTCGCAGTAGTAGGTCACAATGAGGGAAGAGCGAAGAAAAGATATAACATGCATGCCTTCATCAGATAAAAAGCGTATTGGGGGGAACAACCTGAAGAAATACATACAAATACAATCTGCATAACTAAGGGATCTAAATAGTCAAAAGATGCCTGTCGCTTTTGCGAGTCAGAGAGAGATTCCATTGCACCGTTTCAAGAAGATAAGAGAGAAAACTTTTAGCGCAACGTGAACAAAGGATGAGCAGATACACTTCCTAACCCCAATTGCTCTTCTTTTTGTCTTAGCCGATGAGCTGGCAAAACAGAGCACTGTTGAGGAACTGTCGCCGAGCAAGGAAAAAATGGTGATGCGTATCCAAAGCCGGGCTGATTTGAAAGAGCTATTGTCCCGCTATTACAAGGGTATTTTTATTTATTGTACGTAACGTTTTGTTACGAGATATAAGGATTTATATGAAAGGAGCTCGAGCAAATATATGAAGTTCAGATATCTGTTGCAAACAAAGCCATGTATTTATAGGAATTTGTTTAATGGCAATCTACGTTAATCATGATTACCTTTAAAATATATACACAATTTAGACATATCGTTCAGAATTAATGGGTGTGTAGCTCAGACCCCGTACACATTTAAAACCGCGATTTTCCAAATCGTTTTCACACTTCTGAAATGCAACCGATTTCGTTTTAAAAGCCGCATGATCTAAGCAAAGATAACAAACACTGTGGGTAATATGGAGAAAAATAAAAAAATTCTACACAGAAAATTGTGGTTTTTGGTTAATTTTGGAACACGTTCCCGCCACTAAAAATGCTTCTATTTCAAAATATTTTGTATATCAAATCAGTCAGGAAATTAACTTTAACTAACCGCATGACCCAGAAAGCTTACTATGAAGAATTGATAAGCTTTTACTTCTATGTGAACTTTGTTACTTTTGTTCAACTCGGAATTTATGACCTCAAAAGAGTCCAAAATGAGTCAGTCTGGTTGACTGCTCTCAAAATCATGTTTATAACGAATGAAAGACTCGATTTAGGGAAATTTGTTAACTACTACATAGAATGAAGTGCCATAGCATAACTGGGGCGGTTCAGGAAATTAAACAAACAAAAATTTGACCGCCTCATATCTCTTACAGGCAGCATGTTTATCCTAGCCGAGAAAAAAAGTAAGCGAAATTTTTTTTTCGAATTTTGAATTATTTTCGCCTTTCTCCGATGTCATTATCCGAACTGTAGTCTTTAGACATTCTCTAATCGCATCTCTCTTCCGTTTTTCAATATATAGACACTCTGACGTTGGGAAATGTACTTTGAATGTGTTAGCAATATAAAAGTATTACATACATATACGTTTAGAGCTAAAACTGTCGCACCCGTTTCTAAGGATTTGTCGCTTTAAACAAAAATCTTGCCACAATAAATGATTATTAACACCTTGCACTACATATTTTTAATAAACATTTGCTTGAAATAAATGATCAACTTCTTCTTCTACTTAAACTAATAACATTTTTCATATGTTTTTACAATGTGTTGTATTCGAAACCATTTTATCTAAAAAAAAGTTTGCTACCGCAAAATAATAACAAAGAACTTATACTCACAAATCGATCGGAACGCTCTCCACATGGCAAACGTGCAACTGCAACATCCGGGCTATCTTCGGGTGGTGGTGGTTGTGGTACCCAGTTATATCCACGCCTAGAAATCGGTACACCAAAACGATCATGATGCGATGCTTGTTGTCTGAAATTGACATTTGTGTACATGCAATGTTGTTGCTTTTGCTTTATGTATGGGTGCAGGGTGGCGGTACTGTTACATACATATGTATTTTGTGTGCATGTGGTGTGCATATGAGCAAGAAGAAAAAAATTACAAATGTGCTTGGTGTTGCTCTATTTTAACTCATGCTCGGAAATTGGTAGCTGTTAGCTAGTAGATTACTTATAAATTTAGTTATACATATGTATGCTAATATGTTGAAATAGTTCGTCTAAATAATTACAAAATAAGTTGAAAGCGAATAAATTAACAGCTCCAAATAATCTCATATGCAAATACATACTGTGAGCGATAAATAGTAACTATTGTCTATTGCAAACAGCAGAGGAAAATTAGTTACACATGTGCTTTTTATTTGTTTTTTTTTCAGTTTCGTACTCTTTGTGTGTGAGTTTGTGTTGCATTATCTTTCATATATATATATATTTTTTTTTTGCAGTAAATTATAGAATAATTGCATTCAGTGTATAAAATATTTTCACACTTGCACAATTGTTTACTTAAGAGCTTAGCACAGAAATTAAAAAAATGGAGCAAGCAGAAAAAATAGAGATTTCATTATTTACCGTAGGCTTTCGTAGCAGTCCAAGCAAACAACAGCGTATTCACCATTTTCCAACAAAAGACCATCGCCATTTTTACGATTTTTCACAAATGGAAACTCATTAACTGGTAGCGCGCGCACACGTTTTCGGTAAGTCGTTATGCCACACAGGTGACATATATAATCGTGCCAATTATATTTGCGTTCGGTTGGCGCTATAGCAGGCGTTTGAGCTTCATACCTACCAGAGTGGGAGTTAAAAAAAAAAAGAAAAGCAAACAAACAAAGTTAAACATTGTAAAAGTGCAGCGTTATCTTAAGTAAATTGTACTTATGTATAAGTATATATCGTCGTGTAAAGTACAAAACCGCGTAACTGACATTGTTTGACAAAAATTGGTTTTGCTCACCGAAGCTCTTGGCTCAAGCCTTATTCATTCGTCCCGAAATATACTAGTCAGAAATGCGATTCCTTTATAAAAGAGGGAACGATTTTGAAATATGAGTATTTTTACTCTCTACAAAATAATTAATGCAACCTCACATACGCGATTTTGCATTATCTTAATACGCGGTTTTGCATTTTGTTGATATGCGTTTTTGTACTTGAAACGACGATATGTAAAAAGATTTGTAAAAGAAGTGGAATAAATAGCATTTAAAAACTTACTTGCGCCACTGATTCAACATCGAATGATAGCAGAATGTACAAACGAGCGCTGAGTAATCCTTGCGCAGTTGCTCAGCATTTGGCAGCGAATTGTGCTTGAGGAGATGAGGAAAATATGGTCGCGAGCCCTGTGGAAGAAAAATAGAAGTTTTTATTAATACTACTTGGCAATCCCCAATGCGCTGTCCAACGTCTATTAAGCAAATTCTTTAAGTTTTTTCTTAAGATGTATTAAAATTCAAGTTTCTTTTAAAAATGCAAAACCTCTATGTTGATATCAGAGCATTAATGATTACTTAAGAAATTCTAGTGTTTGAGAATGAATCGGACATAGCCAAGATGCCTATCGAAATATAAACAGAAATTTGAATATGTATATTTTTTTTTATAGTGGAGTTTCGAAACATTGAAATCGCATAATGTTAGCAACCCCATTCTAGCAAAGTCACAAAACTCAGTGCATGATTTCTACCATGCTACAACAAATATTTTAAATTTTTGTGTATTTCTTTCTTACTTAATATCTAATTTTTGTGGCACATTTTGAGGCGCAATAGAAATCACTATAGTGATTGCTGAATTTTGTGCCATTGTTAAAATAGGGCGGTAAATCTTGTTTTTTTTTTTTTTCTCTATAAAGTTATGCTTAAGTACTTTCGTGAAGTTCAAGCGCGCAATATTTCAATTTCTTACACGATTTTAGATTTACCAGCTTTAGAGCCGTTTTCTCAAGTCACCTGTATATTTAAAGGTTGCATTAAAATTTACGATTGTGTCTAAAGTAATGCAGTTTACTGTTCAGGTCCCCTAGAAATTTGAAGCGCATCCTTTGAAGTGTGAGATATATTCTAAATCAAGATATCGGCTTCTACAGACATCCGAACCCCTGCACTCATATAACCATTAGTTCCGTATAACGTTCGTTTTTGGTTTACAGAGCCTCAGTAAGCTCCCTGCTCGTTCAAAATGATGATCAAAGTGAAAGTTTTCACAGTTAGTAGTTGTCCCATCTTTCTCCTTTACTTTTGAGTGCAGGAAACTCGGAGCAGCTTGTATATTTGAACTTTGTTCCCCAACTGCTGTTTCGGACGTTTTCCTTACGCATCGTATGCTTCCTTACTTTCAGAAATATCAACATGCCCGGAACACAGTATAGATTGCAAGAATATGCTGAAGGCATATCGAGTTACTATAGCCGTCTTTAATGCATTTATTGCAACTTGAAGCGACCATCACGCTTACTGCAGCAATATCAATCTGAAAATAACTTCAGTATGAAATAAATAGTCTATAAGTTGCCCTCAATGAAAGTTGGCGGGAGAAGACATCGGGTTTGACCAGCTAGTCGACGTTAGATTCAAGGTATGCAGTTATTTAAAAAAGGCGTTGTTGTTGTTGTTGTAGCGGCACTACTAAGCCCCGCCTGTTACGGGTCAACTTTTAATCATTATCGTCAAGCTCAACTAACGGTAGGCCCAGGAAACGAGCTGTTTCGATGGGGTCGGACCAAAGGGAGAGGGGTGTTAGTTGAGTCGGATTGAGCTGGCATGTGAAGAGGTGGTTGGTGTCGTGGGGGCACTCATTTGGGATGTTTGGGTCGAGTCTGGACAGGTAGCTGTTTAGGCGGCTACAATATCCAGACCGTAACTGAGCCAGAGTAACGCGGGTCTGTCTAGGTAATTGAAGCTCCGTCTCTTCCACAGGTGGTGATTGGGCTCCGATAACGACATTCTTAGGCCTGGAGTCGAGGTAGGTGGAGACTGACTCCCTATGAATGTCGTTAATCGCTTGTCTGTACGTCATTGGGTCCAGTGGTTGGTCTGTGTGGGTCTGGACTGCGTCCTTGTACACGAATAGGTGCCCCCTGACGTGCCTGGGCGGAGGCTCCTCCTCCAGCAGTGGTCTGTTGGGGTGTTCGCTTCTGTGAACCCCACCAGAAACTGCTTACAGAGCATTTTGTTGTGTTCCCGTACGGGGAGCACTTGGGCCTCGCTGTGTAGGTGGTGCTCAGGCGTCATCAGAAGGCACCCAGTCGCTGTCCGGAGTGCGGCGTTCTGACAAGTCTGTAGCTTCGTCCACTGCGTCCAACTAGTCCCCGGTGACCAAACAGGCGCTGCATAATTTAGAACCGGCCGGCCAATTGCCTTGTATGTTGCCAGCAACGTTTCTTTGTCTTTGCCCCAAGTGCTGCCGGCGAGCGACTTGAGGACCTTGTTGCGGCTCTGTACTTTGTTGACAACTGCGGTTGTGTGCGCGGAGAAGGAGAGCAGGCTATCAAAGGTAACCCCTAAAATTTTTGGGTTGTTCACCGTCGGTATAGCTGTGCCGTCGACGTGAATGCCTAATTCTAGCCTGACCTCCTTCGTCCAGGTGGTGAAGAGGGTCGCCGATGATTTCGTTGGGGAGAGGGTTAGGCTCCTTGCAGTGAAGAAGCGAGAAAGGCTGGAGAGATAGCCGTTTACTTTTGAGCAGAGGTCATCAATTCCATTCCCAGACGCCAAAATCGAACAATCATCAGCGTACGAGATCAGGGAAACTCCTTCAGGAGGCTGGGGGAGTTTCGAGATGTAGAAGTTAAAAAGTAAGGGGGAGAGAACACCACCTTGTGGAACCCCTTGTTTTATTCTTCTTGGTTTCGAGGTTTGATCTCTGAAGATTACTGATGATTGTCGACCACTCATATAATTCGCCGACCATCGCTTCAGTCCCTGTGGGAGAGAGGAGGCCTCAATGTCTTCTAGCAGCGTGGAATGGCAGACGGTGTCAAACGCCTTTGACAAGTCCAACGCTACTAGGACAGTTCTCTCACAGGGCCGGTTACGATTTAGGCCACGAGTTATCTGGGTGTTTATGGCGTTAAGTGCTGTTGTTGTGCTGTGCACTTTACGGAAGCCATGCTGATGTTTCGCTGGGGTTAGGTGGCAGGTGAAGTATGGGAGCAGCAGGGCCTCAAGTGTCTTCGCGACCGGGGAAAGGAGCGTTATCGGGCGATAAGAGTCTCCTCTGTTGGCGGGCTTCCCCGGTTTCAGCAGTGGGACCACTCTCCCTGATTTCCACACAACAGGAATGATGAGAGTGGTAATAGACAAATTGAGGACCTCCGTGAGGTATGCTACTCCCACAGGCCCCAAATGTTTCAACATCAGCATACAGATTCCGTCGGGTCCAATGGCTTTGGAGGCTTTCGCCTTCCCGATGGCCCCCTTCACTTCACCGTTGGTGAAAACAAGTGGTGCACTGTTTTTGGGCAGTTTGTGCAGCCTCCTGGTCACTCGACGTTTGGCCTTGTCTACCGAAGGATGCAGTGTGAATTGCCGACTGAAATAGTTCGCGCATTTCTTCGGGTCCGATGAAGCGTGACCTTCGAATGAGATTTCCACTCTGTCATCACGCTTCGTCGGGTTGGACAAGGACCTCACGGTTGACCAGAGCTTACTCACACCAGAGGTGAAGTTACAGGCCTTCAAGTGCTCTTCCCACTTTTTCCGCTTATGTTGATTTACCAGTTGCCGAATCTCCAAATTAAGGTCCCTCAAGCGAGGGTCCCCGGGGTCGACCTGGCGTAGGTGGTCACGCTCATTTGCTAGTACAGCTGCTTCAGCCGGGAAATTTGGGCGGACTTCCGCGATACGTCCGGACGGTATGAAGCGAGCTGCTGCGGCAGTGACTACCCTGCGGAACTGGCGTTCGCCAGCATGTACGTCTGTGGGTGTGGGGAGGGCGGCGAAGCTGCTCTCGGTAACTTCCGCGAAGCCGTTCCAATCAGCTTTGTTGAAGTTGGTGTAGGTTCGGTGATCCGCGGGAGCAAAGTCGGTGGGCTTATTGATGGAGATGATTATGGGCAGATGGTCTGATGCTAACGATAGCATAGGTCGCCATGATATGCTATTTATCAGACCAGCGCTAGCAATTGTTAGGTCTGGCGAGCTGCTGCAGCTGCCCACAATCCTGGTGGGGGCGTCGTCGTTCATGGTGCAGAATGTCGAATCGTCTATCTGCTCAGCCAAAATGTTTCCCCTCCGATCATTGGCCAGGCTTGAATGCCAAAGATCGTGGTGCGCATTGAAGTCACCTACTACCAGTCGGTTTTCGCCTCTGAGTAGCGCACCTATGTCAGGGAGATATCCAGCCGGGCAGCAGGTGACAGGGGGTATGTACACGTTAAATATTTCGAGATCGACAAACAAACCCAACAAAGTTGAGTTGCTGTGCAACTTCGTTTCTTGGACCGCAGCTATCAATATGCCGTGCCGACCCATGAAGACTGCTATCTCCTCAATCTTGCTCTGGAGTCCGTTGCAGTTGAGTTGGAGTACGTTCGTATGCCTTGGGAGGCTGGTCGCGATACGGGGAGTGAGGGAAGTGTGGGGCCTACCTTGGGCCTGTTGCGCCTGACGCAGTTGCTGTTGCAGCCTGATGGTAGGTGGCTGCGATGTGGGCGTTGTTGTCTGCGCCGGCGGTGCACTACAGCAAGGGGCGCTGTAGTTGGTAGTCCACTCGCGTGTGGTGCGTAGACCAGAACATAGCCGGAAGTGGCACCAGCCAAGGCATGTGTTGCATTTGACTGATGTCACATTCCGGTATATTCTGTTCTGGCACACGGGGCAGATGGTGTTGGCAACCAGTAGCTGCTGGTTGGCTCGCGCTCGCGAGTGGGACCGGCCGGTAGGTTGTGTGGGTGGGCTGTGTTGGGAGGTTTGCTGTTGCTCAGGGGAGCTTCTGGGGGCCGTGCAGGCTCTTCGGGTGCTAGGTCGCACCCGTGCATTACGCGAGTGGGTAGCCGTAGAGGCTGATTGTGCCATTTGGCTTGAGCAACAGGGAGCCACAAAGTTTGTGGTCCACTCCCGGTGAGACCTAAGGCCAGAGCAGGTTCTTAGGTGACTCCATCCGTTGCAGGAGTTGCACCTAACCGAAGTGGAGTTCGGGTGGAGTCGATTCTGGCAAACACAGCAGAAGTAAATTTCAGGTCCGGGGTTGGGCTCTACGCCCGCCCGGAGAAGAAGGATGCGGAGCAATCCGGCTGCAAGGTATTGCTCCATGGACGAATAATGATTGGTGGGTATCGCCGATCTAGACGGGGTTAGATCACCGAAACAACAGCCCTTGGTCGGGTAAAACCCGAGTCATTCCGGTACGTAGAACCGGCTGTCGTGGGAATGTATTATGGTGCGCTTGGGCTCATATCCAGAACATAAATACTGACTGGCTACGTTGGAAGAGCAACTTTTAGAAAAAAATAGATTCGCTGAGAGGCGCTGGAATGGAGACATTCGAGCAAGTACAACTGGAGGTTAGTCAATTGGTATTCAGATGGAATACATGACCACTATTATTATACCAAAGGATTTTACGGCGCTGTGGTCGAAATATTAAAAGCACTTTCATTTATTTTAAATATGGTTATGGATATTTTAATAAACACTTAAGTTTTTTCAACAAAAACTGAATTTGCAGAATACAGTCGGAGCTTTGCAAATATCCATCCTACAAAATTATAGACACTAAAAGAATATATTGATGTTGATCTCAGAACTGTACAAATTTACTTTTTGTAAATTACCAATAAAAGTTTATTTTAAAATTTGTCTGGCTTTCAACGATATATTTTTATAAGCAAAAACGCAAAGTATTTTTAAGGTGTATAATTATGAGTCAATTTAGTTAGTTTTTTAAGATTGTTGTCATCACGAAACTCCATATCCGAGCCCTAACCGCCAAAAAACGTAAGCGACATTTTTTTTCCAAAATTTTCGTTTTGGTGCAGAAATTCTCCTAAAGCTTCTAGATGCATTTACGTTTTTTTCTGGCGGTTAGGAATCGATATGTATTTTTATAGAAAAGTCCTAAGGCTTATTCAAGTTTTGGCATTTTTGTTTATCTAGAAAGCATAAAATCCCAATTTTTGCACTCAAACACATCTAACTCTCTGCTATGCCTAATAATTACAAGTCCAAACTTTCTTACAAATACAAAATTGCAGTTAAACTTTACCTCTTTGCTTGCATACAACACCCTCGCCAATGTCAAATCCGAATGCAAGCCACATAGGAAGCAATAAATCGATGTACTGGCTGGCGTTGAAGACACAGATGGCGTGGACGGTGGTGTAGTTATGGTTAGACCGCCATGACGTGAGCCATTGGGTGAGCTTGAAGTGATCATGGGCGAAGGTATATTGTATCTATATAAAGAGAAATGCATATAGTTTAAAATATCATATCATAAATATATTTTAAAAAATATATAGAAAATGGTTTTTTGCTCTCTTATGTACCTTCTATGCTCTAATGGCACACGCTCGGCATCCATTGTCTCCCATTGACGCGCTAAGTAATTAACACAATCCTTGCAGGCGAGTACACGATTGTTGGTATCGTTGTTATTGGCAGAGCCACCGCTACCATTACCACCACCTCCATTGTTGCCACTTAAGCTGACATTATCACGACTGTTGCTATTGCTTCCACGCAAGCAGGGAAAATGCATGGCATGCGAATTCATGTGTTCGGCGCTAGTAGAGAGCCATTCCATTTTGTTGGCAGCGCAAAGGACTTTACAAATGGAGCAACTGTGCAAGGAGATACAAATATGCATTAGGAAACATTTTATTAAAAATTTCATTTGAATTTTTTTCGCAATTTCGGTAAGTATTGAAATATTTCGTTTTTATGCTATGCCACTAGGGCACGAACCACGACATTCGTGATCGAATGAAAATAATTGCATTTGCCGAAACGCACTTGTCATACAATGCCGTAATCTCAAAAACTAATTTCGATTCGAGTTTTTTCGGTATCGAATGTTGTTCATCGAGCGTTTAGAAGAAGCATATGACCACCCTACTACGTACATATGAACATATAATAGAACAATTTTTTATATGATTTAAAATTATATATCCAGAGCTTATATTCAATCTGTCTGCAATTTTAATGTAAACAAAATAGTTTCTGATATTCAAACCAACCCGTGACTGAACTTGTTATTGCTTTTAACATTGAAGTCCAACAGTAAATTTTACTAACAAACGATATATGACACTATCTTCACAGTATCATCGATGGCAGTTAAGTCGGAGGATGATTTCATTATAAAAAAATTCATTTTTGTTGCTTTTGCAGATATAAGCGCTTGATAAATGTACATACACTCCGCTTCGTTTGAATAGGTACACTTTTTTTCCTTAAGATCTGGACTTTAGGGCTCGGCGAAACTTCGTTTTAATTTCACTTTGAAGAATGTTCAATTTCGAAGAAAAATTGTGAAAATGAAGAAAACACCGAGAATGAGTTCAGCTCAATAACAACTTTCCAAACACCACCACTCAGTAACGGTGAAAATGGGCAAATCTGTACAAATGTACAAATCGTGCGATCCCCGCTTTAAACCTTTTCAAGAATTTAAAGGACTATAACAGAGTAAGAATGAGTCAAGCAGGCGCACTTTTAACTGCAAAAATTGCATAAATGGAGGACTTCACGAATCCAGGTAGGTTATCTGTTGGAAAAAAACGCATGGAAATGCAAATATTTTTGACAGCTGAAGTCGGCTCAGCGCCGCATGAAATGGAGCTAGGCGGAAATTATAACGAGGTCGTCATCTCATTGTCGAGATAGTAGACCAAAATTAAAGAAAAACGTTAGTGTCCATGACACCACAATTTGGACTGCGAATCACTTTATACACGTGGTTTCAGAAAATGTCAAAAAAGAGCATACGGCTGAAAATTTATACAACTCGCATGCCTGGAGGGACAACTAGAAAATGGTGGTTTTCTCCGGCGAAAAATTTAATCTTGAAGGCTACAATGATTTTCCTTATGATCAAGTTGAGAGTATGGCAGTCTGAACCGCGATTTCGCATTCTAGAGCAGTTTAGATTACGGAAAATTCATGCAAAAAAAATATAAAGGAAATTTGTTTGACATTTGTCGCATATCTTTGCAACTTGTTCTTGAATATCCTATCAAAATTACGCACCAATTCGCACTGCAGGAGCTGTAAAAACGAGGATAACAAAGCAAAGTCGTAATTTTTTCAGCGGGACCTAAACTTAATGGAAAATGTTTGGAATTAGATGTTTGGCAAATTTTTCGAGTCAGTCGAACCATGTGAAGAATGGCAGTTGTTCTTTCCGGCAAATAAAGTGGTAAGCAGCGAAATGTTCTTGCTTTTCCCTTACGCCTGTAGAACTCTCTTCTGGATAGGGGTTTTTCCCATATATTGGAATTAAGGATGTAGTATGCAATACTAAAAGTGTTATACACTATAACAAAAATGAAAGGTATGCTTTTGTTGGTTGAATATAGTCCTTTCCTTGTTTTAAAGCCACTGTGCCTATTCAAGCGAATCAAAATAATATGCACAATTTTCATGGCATGAAATCCAAAGTAATCAAGGTGTTTTCTTCATTTTCACCACTTTTCTTCGAAACTGATCATTCTTCAAAATGAGATTGAAAGGAAGCTTTTTACAAATGTCCCAAGTCCAGATACAAGATCAGATCTTGAAGGAAAAATGTGTACCTATTCAAGTGAAGCGGGTTGTACATACTTAATAATAAAAACAATTTGTTTTTAAGCGGTAGACTTAAGATAAATATAGACATATTATTTATATCATCGCAGCTGTGCAGATAAATATGTTTGGCAAGAATGTTGTACAACTTTTCCATGTACATCATGTGCGTAAATCGTCGCCTGGGTAGAAGTTTGTCGTAGGCTAGTTTCGGCAAGTTTGGCCAATCGCGATTGAAGTTTGGAATGCAATTTCTACGAAATGCGACAATAGATTTTCTCCAAAGCCTCGGAGAATGTTACTAGTTCACGAAGTTCTTAAAAATATTTGGATCACAAATTTTTATTATTTTTTTTTTTGTTCAACGGATGCCACTATCCAATTCCTATGCAATTCGCTCGGTGATTCCGTAAATCAAGTTATTTTTTTTTATGGATAACTTTTCGAGATATTTGAAATTTACCATTATTCAGCTTAAAAAAAAGAGTGGTTCCACTTAATCACGTATGTATATCTTACGAACCAATTGAACAATCGATTTTCAGAATCACCAAGCAATAATCATAGAAGTTGGATAGTGTTATTTTTGAGGTTATGAAGGTTTTTCTGTAGTTACATTTTGTCGTATGCTGCATTTTCCAACAATTTTGCAGCCACTTTGAAATACGGCAAAATGTGATAAACATATGTACTAAATTAACAACGATTTTTACTCAATATCTCGGAAACTAAAGGAGATATCCAAAAATGAATAACGCCATTTGATAGATCTTATTTTTTTTTAAATATGTAACTGTATTTAAAACTAAAAATCGTCAAAATGACGCTTACGACAATCTATTATCCAGGCGACAAATGTATACAGATCTTTGAATATACTTACGGATATTGTCCACGCTCATTTTCGCCGGGTCCCTGAGATGATGATGTCGGCGAATTTGGACGCGAATCACCCTGTCGTGCGAATTTAAAATCACGCTGTGTGGATGGAGAACTATTTGAGATTGGTTCGTATGGCTGAAAAGGAAGTGAAATAGTTGGCAGGCACCTATATTACTACATTACCAGACGGCATAAGCTGCATATGTATAGTAGTATACAAATACAAATACAAACAACAAATGCAATAGGACAAACAAAAGCTAAGGCTAAAGCTAACAAACACATTTTTATGTACATACTATGTATAATAAAAAATAGGTTTACACTGCCATATTTCAAATCCATACGAAATATAAAATTTCGCGAATAAATCAATTTTATTTGCGTCACTACAATGATCTGTTTTGTCAATACTTATAAGTAATTGGATTTATTTATTTATTTATGAATTTATAAATAACTATATGCGCATATACCATATACAAATGTACATACTGGCGACAACCCCAAAGTCCACACGCAGCCATCCATCAAACAAACATACTCGACAATTATCGCAATTGAAAAGCGTTGGCTCGCAAGCATTGTCGACATGATTAGATTCTCGTTTCAAAGAAAAAGCCACTACTGTTGCCTACTCGCTTTTTTACGAATGCTTTAGATAGCTGCTGCTGGCTGGTGACACTAATTTTAGCCCTAGTTTAATATGTAGCCGCTTGAGGCATTAAATCTCACAATTCTTGGTCACACAACAAACGTTTTTCAATGAAACAAAAAAAAAAAAAAAAACAAAAAGCAAATAAAAATTCATGGCTAGGTCTATGTTTGCATGAGGTTATCGTTTATTTTGGGACTACATTTTAATCTGTATTTTATAGTATTTTAGATTAGGTTATTGCAGATGTCAGCGCCCTTGATGTTAATTTCACAATAAATCTGCGGTAATTAAACACGCTTCCTTCTTCGGTTATCGCAATCAGAAAACAAAAAATAATAAAAATAACAAATATTAAAAAACAAGTTAAGAAGTACAAGTTCGGGCGAAACCGAACTTTATTTACCCGACGCACAGACAGGTATCAACTATCGTCGTTTCAACTTTCTCTTAACTAACTTTGCATGATAAGCAGCGGTGGTTTTTCCCAATTTCAACAGTTTTCGATTGTATGCTGAGTTAGACTTAATGATATTAGTTGAACCAAGTTTGGTAGAAATCGATGAACTGGTTACCGAGATACATACACTTTTCTAGTCATAAAGTGGGCGGTACCACGCCCAATTCGTTAAAGTCTATAGCAGTCTTATATATTGTAAAGAGATTGTTGTAACTATTAACTTGGATTAAATTAGCGCCCTTAGTTAATGAAATATCGCTGATTTTCGTATTCGAAAGCGGGTGTAATTTTCGTCCGATTTGAATTTCTTTTCCGTACCAAGGTTATTAAGTGTACCGAGTTTGGTAGAAATTGTTAAATCGGTTACCGAGACACACATTTGTGGTCAAAAGTGGGCGGCGCCACCCTTACCCTTATATGGCAGGTGAGCGTGGTTATTTCACGATTTCAAAGATTCTCAATAGATTTTTTAGCTAAACCCTAGGCAAGGCTCTTACCGAGTTTGGTAGGGATTGGTGAAGCGGCTACTGAGATACAGCATTTCATCATAAGTGGGCGGGGTCACGCCCATAGAAACGTATGTATAGAAAAGTACCGAAAATGGTGGTGAAAAAGATACGTTTTCGGTTGTTTTTTTCTGAAATTTGTCTGATTGAATTTTTCGTTCAATACGCTTTCCTTCTGCACTTCAGAGATATTTTTTCGTGATTCAAAAGAAGTAAAATAAAACTAGGAAGCGGCTGACGGCATTCGAAAACCGCCACCTTCTGGAAGCTAACAAATAGCGGCACACTCCTCTGCACGCTCAGCCACTGCCGACTACGCATGCATCCTTTCAGATGTTTAGCTTGAGCAAATAAAATACAATTACTGCTTTCGAATGACATCATCTTTTTCGAACGTTTTCCGGATACGAAAATTGATGATAACTGTAAAGTTTTTTGTATGCACTGTCGGCAACATTTACGTTTCTTTGTCATCAAATCAAAAATCGGCGGGATTTTTTAGCAACTTAAAACTGCCACTTTATTATTACTATTATTTAATGGCCTACAAAACTGCATACCAAATTTTTTTCTAAAGATTCTGAATAAATTTGTTTTTTGTTATTTATTGGCCATTTAACAATTATATTCAACAATTTTATAATGAGCTCGAGGCCATTTTTAAATGAAAAATTTATTGTGGAAAAGCAACAACAATTTGAAAAAATGGTAGAAGTGATAGCTATTTCGGAAATCACCACATTCTGAATAAAGTAAAATTTTTATACTATTTACACAAAGTATGGAATTTGGTTTTACATATGTTTTGTTAGATGGTGAGCTGAGATTTTGTAAAAAAAATATTAAACATTAAATAAACAAAAGAAAATTAAAAAAAAAAATCGTCATATATTGGGATGTCCACCTTATGGCCAAGGCTGTAGGTTGTTTATTTCCCAATGAGTATGAAGAAGTAGTACAAATCGTTAAAGAATTTGCCAAAAAATATATATATATGGGCGATCCCAGCGAAAAGTCACCCGCGAAAAAAAGTCCTTTATCTAACTTATTTATAGGCCGATTTGGCTGCTTTTTATAGAATATACTGGTAATGAAGGCAGACACATTTTTGCTAAAAATTATCTCGTTAGGTAGCGCCAGGGTCGAGATATTTTGAAAAACTGTATTTATGCTCTGGCTTATTTCACATTTGGCATTTGAAAAAAAGAGAACAGCTGTGGCGTCGATGTCAAAATAAAAAGTATATTCGACATAGAACGGATGTTTTTTTTTCACGTTGAAAATTCGTTCGAAAACAATATCAACAAAACGTTTTCAATGGAGATTTTAGTAAAGTAGCGTCAGGTAATGTCCCGTCAGATAGTTCAGCTAATTGAACAAAAAGCAGAAAATATTTCTACATTTAAAAACTTGGAAAATTAACCTTAAATATTTATTATATTACTACCAAAGTTTCATACAAATAGTATTGCCCAATTTCAGAGTTTTGCCATTTTGTAACCCAAGTCAAAATCCACCCTTTTTTGTAACATCACGTCAGCACGTATGTTTACTAATATCTTTAAATCGCTACTACCAACAATAGTAATTTTTTACTGAATAAGGGGTCATTTAATTGCTATGCAAATCTAGAAAACCCTTTTTAAAATTTTGACTTTTTCAATTATTATTATTTTAACATTTTGTCATACGAGTATTTTCTATCCGGATTCAGCTACTAGAGCCTTGTGTTTATCTGTTATAATTTTCACGCTTCACATTAGCAGATCCCAGTATAGGCTGTGGCGAAGAGTAGTAATTGAGAAACGATTTTACTTTACACGCCACCGGCATGTATTTCCACCAACTGAATCCGAATCTGAGGTCCGTTTGACTCATGCATCCTCCACATTTCGAGTATATTGCGAATAAAATGGGAACAAATTTACCATTTTGCAGATTTGCAGATTTTTCTGGTTAAAACTAATATGCCTGCCGAGCCGCGAACATAATTGAAAAAAAAAAAAACATTTTCTATCATTTAGATATTCCCTGATCAAGCCTGGGTCCTAGCAACGGCGGCCGGCTTACTTATCACACATGTTCTATATGTGTGCATACCTACATATGTATGTATATGCTTACTCGGTAAAGCTAACACTCCTTTTATTTACTTTGTTTCTAGCCATCTAAGAATTTATTTTATTTTAATGGAGTGAAATAATAAATACGAGTGCAAACAAAGTAAAACGTAAAAGAAACCAAAAAAAACACAAAAATAATATTACAGCTAGGCTCATTATCTTATCGGTGACATTTGTTGACTTGAATTAGTACACATGTTGACATTTTATTTGGTGTTATTGATAATGAAATTACTCTCAAAATATTTGCAAATACGCAAACCACCGCTGGCACCACCACTGCCACCAACACAGATATAGAGAGGGGCATGTGAGACACACATTCGGACGAGACACTTGTCATTAGAACGGCAGCAAGTTATTTGCAAAAAAAAATGTTAAAAAATATTGTGCACAAAAAAAAAATAAAATAAATAGAATATAATAAAGTGACAATCAACAATTAAAACAATACTTCACCACGCTTACTTAACAATATACATTAGCCAACGAACGGCCTTCAGTGCGAAAAACGCTTTGCTGTTTTATTCCCTGTATACGGGATGCTATTTATGTACATATATAAATGCAAATATACATACGTATGATATACTATCATAATCTACTTGAACTGCTGCTAGGCATACAACTAGTATTTTTCCCGTAATAGCGGAATTTTTGTAACATTTCACCTTCTGTCTGTCTGTGCGTCAGTCAATTTTTTTGTATTTGATTTTTATTTTTTGTATTCTCCTTCTGTTTAATCTTTAAATCATTTTGCATTCAATAGAGCGCGTCAGCGTGTTGTACTACACCAACAACAATATTTGCTGCCGTCTCGTTGACTTTTGCTGACTTGCATGCATGCGAGATGGTTGCTTGGCCTGATAAGGCAAAAGGTGACTGTTTTATTGGCCCCAAGCGATAGCCTCTGTTACATCGAGTGGGCACCTTTATTGACATTCGACGTTATCAGAAAAAATAAATATAAGTCCTCGTTAATCATATTGATGCCGCGTGTTAATAAAAATAAATCTAGTGGAAAGTGTACATATGTACTTATGCCTATAAATATACATACGAACATAAACATTTGTAGTTAAGCGAAAACACTTTGCCCACTTATTTTAAACTGCGGAATTATAATCTAGGAATAACCACACGAACGCACGTACATACATGTACACATGCATACTTGAAAAGGCACTCATAATTGAGGACTTGGGGCGACCAGCGTCTTATGCGATAACTAGCACAGAAAGAAGTGGACAAATTAATTATTTAAAACTCAACTCACCTTAAATTTCACATTACTTGTCGAATCGGAATTGGCTAATGACTTCTCAGAGGGTGTATAACGTCCAGCACCCTCAGCACTGGTGCCGATCACATTGTTGTTATTAAGATTTGAGTCGCTATCAATGCTGTAAATAACGCCGGCACCTCCAACGCCAGCGCTATTATCGCAGCCAGCGCCGACGGATACACGCCCCGTAGAGGTAGCTGTTGCCATTGTAGCATTATTGCCACCTTCAGCTAAGTATAAATGCTTTTCATAACAAGAGGAACATATTTGCACCATGCCTGAAAAAGAAGAGCGAAAAATTAAGCAAAATGTCTGATTGGCAGGAAGTAAAAAATGCGTAGGTACTTACCCTGTGGACTAATTGGACTAGCGTTTTTGAAAGCTTTCATTGTTTTTATGAAGGGATAGTAGGGCTCGCGCTCAGCATTTGGACAGCAGTAGACGAGCCGTAAACGTGAAGAGGGCGTATCGCCGCCACAAGTATAGCATACAAATGTGGTGCGTTCCGTGACGGATGTGGGTTTCTTCCGTAGCGTATAGGAGCGATCATTTTCAGGTGTTTGGCCAGTCTGGAAAAAGATAGAGGTTAAAATTTTGCATAGATTAATTTAGTTCAAGGTCTGCATAAAGAAAAGGTAGTTATAAAGATATAATTTAAGTAACTTTAAACGATCCTATGAATCCTAAAGACCAGATTCAGCCAAACATACGCCATCTGCTGAACCAGACGGACAATAGATAGCTCTTGCCGAGATCGGTCCCTAGAAGAAGAACGAGATTCTCGCAGGGGCCCCAAAAACATTCAACAGTTGTAAAAAAGAAATAAATCTTGATCACCAAAAATTTTGACATCAGTCGCGTCGATAACACATCCCACGGCAGAAGTTTTTTAAAGCTTTCTATAGATTTTAGATCAGTAACGGTCAGGAAGAGGTTTCAATGTGTGCGTCCATATAAAATCTATAAACAATTTTCAACAGTTGTGCAAAATAAGCACATTTTTATCATCGAAAATCTGCAAATCAGTTACGACCAAAGTACATCTACAGTAGTTGTGAAAAAGAAAGATATATTTACCATCGAAAATCTGCAAATCAGTTACGACCTAAACACATCCCACGAAAGCTTTTTAAAGCTTTCTATAGATTTGATAGATTTTATATCAGTGACGGTCAGAAAAAGTCCAGGGCAATTCTAGCTAAGATAGTTGAAAGTCTTTTATAAGACGGTTGAAAGTCAGTAGGCAAGATTGTTTGCAGGATTTGGTTTATTCCGGCACGAAAATCTTACAAAAACAGCTCCCTTACCCACTTTTTTGATAAAAAATACTTGGAATCATTTTGATCGCGCTGCTCCAACAGTCGCAAAGGACTGGCGTGAGAACCGAGGTCGAGTCCTTGGGCAGCGGAATTTTGTTTTTAAAGTTTTTCTTTTGTTTTTAATATTTTTTTTTATTAATTTTCTTTTCATTTTATTGTTTAAAAGAGAAAAATATATGTATATGGATATATTTATTTGAATTTATTACTTTCTCTGATTTATTTTTTTCTTTGATTTAATTTTTTTAAATGAAACATATTATTTTAATATCATTTAATTTCTAGAAACTTATATGTACATATTTTTATGATTTTAATGAAATTTCTTTTGGGTGTGAGATATTCTTAAAAAAAATTAACTTAACTAATTTTAAGGAAGTTATTTAATTTTTTTTCTTTTTTAACTGAATTTTCTGTTAAAATACATAAAAAATTATTTTAGTATCATTTAATTTTTAGAAACTAATTTTTTAGTTTTCATTTGATTTTTCCTTTATTTATTTATTTTTTGTTAATTTCTTGTTTTTATTTATTTAAAAAAATATACACTGCCGGAACAAAGTATTGGCACAGCAAATTTTTCACAATATATGCAACAGTTTTTATTCTAATATTTTTCCGCCAATTTTGTATAAAAATATGGTTCATTCAACAACATAAAAATATGATTCCTAAACTTTGTGCAAAATTAGAGAAAATTCAACAAATTTTCATTAAAATTTTCAACTTTTTAATCAGAGTATGAAGTTTTGCGGCCCATTAAATTATAGTAAAAAAATGCAAGTTTGGAGTTAGTCAAAAATCGCGTTGATTTTTGAGAATTTTTTTGTTGAAGGTGTTTTGCATTTTATTCCATATAAAGTATTTTCGAAAAAATTTTTTTTATGGAAAAGACTGCGTGAAAAAAATGCCAAAAATCAACAGTAATTCCTAGCTACTTAAAATTTGCACTTTACTATAATAAAATTGATTGGGCTACAAATCTGCATACACAAAGAAATTCTAAAAAATCTGATTAAAAAGTTGAAAATGTTCATGAAGATTTGCTGAATTTTCGCGAGTTTTGCACAAAGTTTAGGAATTATATTTTTATGTTTCTTGTTGTAGAATGAACCATATTTTTATACGAAATTAGCGGAAAAATATTAGAATGAAAATTGTTGCAAATATTGTGAAAATTTTGCTGTTCCGGCAGAGTATATATCCTCGTTAGCAGATCTTTGCATTAGTCTTTCGAAAGACAGCAAATAGGTTTGTTCATCGGAAATCCAGCAAGAATTATCCAACACTCAAAATATCAGAGAGTATGAAAAAGTTCTCTCAAATCCTCTCTCATGTTGGGAAACTACACGAACGCAAATTTGGAGTCCACCGTTGCATTTCAAACATAATAAATTTTTGTAGAATTTTTAAAATTATTTCAGATGTACAAAAATAGGATATCCATGTGTATTTCTTGCTCTTTATCATACTAGCTGTCGGGTTTCTTAAATCGACTCTGGTTGCAATTGCAATCCGATTGCGAATGCAATTTTTTTTTTGGATAATTTGTGTTAGTTTCCATCACACAATTCTTGTAGGGATATCAACAAGTATTTACTTCCTTTTTTCTTTGAAAATCTCTCGTGTTTATAAACTTTTAAATTTAACGAACTTTATTATTCAAATTATCGTCGGAACACAATGCAACCATGTGCCACATGCATATGTTTTTCGGGATTGCAAATTCTTGTTGGCTAAAATATTTCCAGCAAGAATTTGCAACTTCTCTCCAGGAGAACTGTCATTTTGCGCTCTCAGTTTTTGAGTGATCGATCATTTTTTGGCTTGCACGAACGCGATTCGGGCAAATATCATGACAATTCGTACAAATTCGTACAAATTTTTTTGCCTGTGGTAAGTTAAAAGACAGTTGCCATAGTTGACTTGTTAGGCTGCATGAGAGACTTTCCCCAATGCATTGCATATTTTCAGACAAATTTAGCACAGGAACTTCTAGATTTCCCTGCAGGGTTAACGGTCCCGCCTTAGTGTCGTTGCGGCGGTAGAAGGAGGCGGCAAAAGGAGGTATTATAACAGCGTAAAGGCTCCCCAAGCAGCTATAGTGAAAATACCTATTATTTATTAACATTATTTGTATTTTTATTTTGTATTTACTTTGTTAAGTATACTTAACATTCCCATTTATTATATTTGCCTAAGATTACCACCACCTATTTCACTATTTACCTTCACCTTCTCTTCCTCCTTATCTTTGAGAATTAGATAAGTTTTTAATTTCTTATAATCCTTCCAGTTATCGTTTTCCAGCAATTTCCTCTCTTTCCGCGTACAAGCTGTCGCTTCTGTTCCCCTTAACGTTATCGCTGCACCAACAGCATTTGTTGTAACACCGACACCGATCGCACCTTTATCACTACAATCTGCCATTACCAACAGCAATAAACACTTGCGAATTTGCATTGATTTAAGGATCGCAAAAAAAAAATATTCCCCACACAAATAGTTTTTACAAAACTATAACACTTCTTTCTACACCACTTATGTTAAAAAAAATGGCATTTACAAGTCCGAACACGGGCAAGAGAGGCGTCGCACTTAAGTAATATGTTTAAAAATTTAAATTTTTTTCGCCAACACGAGAGCACTAGAAAAGATAACTTTTCATTTTATTCCGCAGTTATATTTTGCTTAATCAATTTACAAATGCAGCAACACTTTAAATTTAGAACAGCAAGTACTATTCTATACATTATAAGCTTTTGATAAGAGATCGCTCAACATACATACAGCGAGCGCAGGAATACTGCCTTAGGCAACTTTTGAAGCGGAAACACTGGTTTAAAGCAGATTTCGAAACTCAAGTTTTTGTTTATCTAAAATTCTTGTGCTTTTTAACTTTATGTTAGCACTTTGTCTTACGAAACCGCGTTTATTTATTATCTTTCTTATCTGACGATCGTTTTTGATCTATTTATTCACGCACAGAAGCAATTACAATTAGTCCACGTACACTTGTACATACATATCTACGCATAAATGTAACTACAGACACTAGAAACCGAAACGTGTCCGCTGACTGACACTGACATTACCGCGTTTACCGTTGCTGTTGCCGCACGATTTGACGGTGTTAAACGAATAAGAGCACGCTTCGTATACGACTGGAAGTGTGTAGCGGACAATGAGCGATTCGAACCCAAATCCACATGAAATACTGATAACAGTGGGAATCAACTTAGCCTGTACCTATGTATATGCATGTACATACATACGGACATATATGTGTATATAATGGTTGACTTAATTAGGACCCCGAGTCAACAGAATGCAGTATCAGAGTCAAAAGCAGTAATGGAAACACTGCAGATACAACAACTACATACATAGAATATCGCTCATGTAACCTAAAATGCTTTTCACCAACACAAAATCATTTTTATGTTTGCACTAGTATACCTAGTGTACGTCTGTAATATAAAAATAAAAAAATAAAAACTTTCCAGCCACTACAATGGTTATACAAACTGAACAAAAATTAGTTTATAATCACAAAATTAACAAACTGTGGAAATTATTTATTTGTACTATACGTCAATCATGCAGCTGTTTTTTTAAAAGTATACTAACTGCTCAAATATGAAAAGAACTCTACACTGTATATAGCATCGGAAAAGCTTAGCTAGCAGGTTGCGTTGCGGTTAAAAAATAACTTGGAAGATAAGGCCAATGTTAAACAAATGTTTCTGGTGGATTGATAAATTTACATTTTAGCTGAAAATTAAATATTTTTTTGTAAACAAAGGGGTATTTAAATAATGTGGTTTGCGGCAAGCTGTCGAAACTGCTGCATACCAGTTAGGTGAATTAAGGTATCAACAAAATTTTTGTGTGCCATATGATTTTTTAGGTTAGGTTACGAGAGTGGCGGCCACTCTAGTGTAGTGGTAAGCAGTGCGCCCTTCCACTTGGCAGGGCAAAACATCGCAGAAAAATTTTGAAAAAAGGTTTTTTCTTAACAACGGTCGCCCCTCGGCAGGCAGTGGTAAACCTCCGAGTGTATTGCTGCCATAAAAAACAGCGTCTCATAAAAATACAATCGCCGATCGGAGTCGGCGTAAGACTGTAGGTTCCTCCCCTTTTTGTGACAAACACCAAGGCGCACGCCACAAATCGGAGGAGAAGCTCGGCCAAATGCCAACGTGTTGTGTAAGCGTCAATTTATTATTATTAAGGTGCAAGTCTTAAGTAGCTAGGACTTACCGTTAATTTTTGGCAACTTTTTTTTGTAGAAAATGTTGTTTTTTTTTAGAAATTTTTTTTTATGGGCAAGCAAATGAGCAGCACGTTGCACATTTTTGTACTAAATTTTAATGAGCTACAAAACTGCAAATCAACTTTCTTCTAACCACTCTGATTTTGATGAAACTTTACAGAATTAATTTTCACAGTTTTTGCAAAAAGTCGGAAATTTTGATTTATATGGTTTATATGGAAAAGAGATTTACCTTCATAAAAAATAATAAACGTTAAGTAACCAAAAGCAAAATAGCCAAACCTGGCTAAGATGTTGAGTCCTAATTTATATTTTGGTCACTGTAAGTGTTCCTCAATTCGAAGCACAGACATTCCGATTAGAAAATAATAACTGTTTATAGAGAAAATTACGATCATATACCAACATCACTTAAAATTGTTTCATAGGTACGCCATTTTAATGACCTGACATGGCGTGGAAATACTGAACACCGAATACGGGACAAATACAGGATATTAAAAGAAATACAGAACATTTGGCGTCCTGTATAGAATAAATAAATTACCAGGACAATTGGTCAAAATACAGGTATATCCAGTACAGGACGGATGGTCACTGTAGTTATAATTAAAGCTTAAAACTTGGAAAAACTCTGCTATTTAAAAATTATGTTTCTACAATTGCATTTCCTTCTCTCCATCGACTTACCTGATAGCTGTTCCATTGTTGTATAAGATTTTCAAAGCATAGCTGACAGGCTTGTATCATGCCACGCGGATCCTTTGGACGTGAACGGGGCGGACGTGGATGCTGTTCATTGAAAATGGGAAAGTACGGATGATGGCGACCCTTCAGATCTTTGGAACGTACAGTACTGAGTTCGATGAGACTACCACGCCGCTGCTCATCACCACAAACATAACATACTTCAGTCAATGAGTTTTTGTCTGGCATTGACAAATCCAGTATGCCGACATCCACTTGGTTGGCTGTATTGCTAGGCGAGGCATTTCTAAACATTTGCCGCGAGGTACCGCATGATAGCATATAGGGTTCACAAATGTTGTTAGAGTTTCGCAAATCTAAAGCGGCACCAGTATCGTCGGCATCAGCCATCGAAGGGGCATTCGAATGACTTCCGCCACCAGCTGCAATACCATAATCATATGGACTGATGCGATCTTGTCGCTGATGTTGTATTTGGTGCTGTTTGCTATCAGAAGTTAAATTAGAAGTAGGTTTTTGAGCTTCATTTGGTGGATTTAGATCGTGGCGTGCTGCAGCTGAGTTCATATAGGAAATCTGTCCCAATTTGAATTTGTGATGCGCAAATGATGATGATTTTATATTAATTGATTCATACGGCGAACCGCTGGCAACTGCTTTACGTGTTTCAACTGTGGAAGGTTCCTCATTCATGTGTGTCATACCCTTAGGTAACTGCGTGGAGCTAATTTGTTTTTCTTTTGGTTGTGGCGTCAATTGGCCATTTAAGGTCGCGTTAACATTTCGATTGTAATAATCACAGTACTGTTGTGCCGATGAACTGCTAGGGACATTCGTCGTTTGAGCATAATGTAGTGACGATGGCGGCTCATTTGAATGCACAGGAAAATATTGATTTACCACATTCGCCGGCCGTTCGTATTCAGCGCGATTTGGTGTCCTCTGCACATTGCCAAAGTAAGCGAAATCCTCATGCAAAGTGCCATGCTGCAAATGATCAGCACTCAAGCCGAGCACCTGAGCAGCATATTCGCCTTGCGTTTGGATGTCGGCGCCTATGTAATTTTTGCCATCCACCCGTTTCATATGATATAAGCGTTGCAAATGCGGTTTCTTCTTCCGTTCGTATGCATCCCATTGTTCTCGCAAGGATCGGTAACATAACATACAAGCGATTACATATGTTTGACTGTTCGCTACCTTTGGCACGCCGTTAGGCGGTTCATGGCGTTCTAGGAAGGGAAAATATGGTTCCGTTGGACATTCTTGATTCGGACGTATACGTAAAGACTCGCAGCCGCCATTACCACCGCAAACGTAACACAAAGGGAATACGCCATCGTTAGCTGAATTGCCGAGAGTATCACATTCCGAAATATTGGCTGGATTTGTTTTAGATGATGGACGTTGAGGATGATAGTATGCTGACTGTAGCGAATGATCCAAGTTGTGATGCGTTCCCATATAAGGGGACGATTTCGAATCGGGTGACAGTGACGCAGCAAGATGACCTTCAGCTAGCTTTGGTGTTGCTTGTTGTTGTGATTGTGTAGACACGCCACGTTGTTCGCTTTTTACATGAACTTTCCCTTTTTCCATAATATATTTCTGAAATATATGGATTAGGTATAGAGATATTAAAAGCTTTTAAAATATATAAGATACATACTTACCTATTCTGTAGCAGTTTCTGATGGTTATTTTTACGCTTTTTTTCTGGATCAATGATGAAGGTAAACATAAAATAAAGTCGCTCTTGGATGAATAAAATTGAATACGGAAAACGCGTTTAATATTTAATTAATTATTTTTTTAGCGGACCAAACGCTAAGCGATTATCCGGGTTTATCACTTTTTTTATATTTTAAAGGAATTAAAATTTGTCCTTGTTTGTAGGCACTTTTGAAATTTGTTGCTTGGTATTTGGATAGCAATTTTTATTTATATTTCTTTTTTTTTGTAAAAGTTAAAATAGCTTGACGCAGCTATAATTTTATACAATTATGCGTAAATGCTTTGCACATTTACTGCAAATTCAACACTTCTCAGCTTTAGTCTACTTACACAAGATACCTACATATTTATGTGATACGTGGAAGTAAATATGCATGCGTATTGCATCGTTTTACTAATCCATCATAATTTTTCAGCATTAAAAAAGAAGATAAAAGTTTGCATAAAACAAAAAAGTTGCCCAATCCCAATTACTACTAGTCACAATTCCCGATCGTTCGCACCGTCTTCTTCAATTTTCTTTCTCGGTGCGTTTCTCGGATTTTCGTGTGTCCAGCCAGGCATTCGTTCATTGAGGGCTGACATACAAACAAACACCCGCACACCAACTGCCAGCCGCTGGTTTCTGCTTCTGAAGTTTTTGCTATCTTTTCCGACTGCAGTATTGTGGTTAGCTATTACTCCAACTTTGGTTATTTAGCAATGCGATGAAAATTGTATTACGCACTACAACTTTTTGGCCAACTTTTACCAGCACGCAGCTTATAGTTCTCAACGCACCCGAACACCGAAACGGAAAAAGTGAGGTCACAAAGAAAACTCACAATTGGTGTATTACAAAATTCCATCGGACACTATCCGAGTTGCTATTTCTATGGGCTTCACTATTCGGACGTAATTTGCATTTCCCATTGGGCCTTGGTCAAATCTTACGACCCAATTACTTGCAGTATATCACAAATTCATTTTCATTGGCCTTTTTCAGTTTTTACACTCCACTTTTTTATTTGGAAAATGTAAACTGCAAAAACCTATCACTTCTGCTCACGCGATCTAGAATGGGAACACAAAAGACATTGCGTCCATTTTGAACAGAACTGTCAACCGCTGGTATGCTTTGCTCTGACATTCGATACATTTTTCGTTTCGGACAGAGTGTTGCCACATCTGCCTGCGCTGTACACCATTTTATTTCGGAGGGATTTTCACTAGAACAGCAATAGCTAAAGCAGGGATCACACGATTGGTACATATTTGAATATTATGGCAGTACCAGACTGGTGTTCTACAAATTTGTATCGAGTATGAGTCCAGCACAATAAAAGAATCCCACGGACGTGGACATCCGAACAGACACTTGCTTGCAGAGGAGCCCTCGCCAAGGCATGGCATCTATGCGAACTGACGGACGAAGTGCAGAGGTTCACAGAAGAATGCCGTACTGGACACACAACCACCTGACATGGACGAGACGGAGACTAGGATCACAATAGCACAACTTCGCCCCACGACTCGAAACATATCTTCCCATGCACACAAAACCCCACTCAGCTGACGCCTTCGTCCCCTGTGGACAGACCCCATAGAGGCTGCACCCTTCTTGGGTCTACCGTTAGTTGAGCTTGACGATAATGCCTGAGAGACTAAACTCTACAACAACAAAAACAACAACCCGCCCTCGGTAAGTGTCAAAATGTAGAAATCCACAACGTGCCTCAGGGAAGGTGTCCCGTTCTGAAGAGGGTATGGAGATATATTTTAAGGTTATCTAACATCGCTGCATCAATTTTGAATCATGGCTGCCTTTTTCCGGATCTTGGTAACGGAAGTGTTAAGAAGAGCAGAGCGCCCGATAGACCTCTAGGTCGCAGTGCACACCGTCGGTTTATGTGTTATAATATTTAATTGTTAAAATATCGTTCATTATAGGCACATACCTTAGGGTCGAAACATAGTGGAGCGGCGAGCAAAGCGAAGAGCTCCACTATGTTCTTACCCTTAGACTTCTTTGACACTTCGGCTGTTGTAGAAGCCACGAATTTTTGGTGAATGTTGCTGTTCCCATTATGCATTACTGCGGCATTACTGCAAAAAACAGCCCCTTTTATTTCTAAACTAAAACTGATGGAGAAGTCCAGCATTCGTAAACACGGTTAAATGGCGAATTCGAACCAAGCTCATTCGACTGTTTGACTGGAAATGGTATTGGATTTCATTACTGCTTTTATTCAAAATGTATACAAATTAAATAAAACTGCAAATGCGACTTGACTTTCTTTTTTAATTAAATTGGATTTAATTTATTTTTTTATTTTTTGTTTCAACACACTTTCGCTCAGTATGCGTTATATAAATTTTGAAATTATATTATAATCGCAAGTACTTTTATAAGCAAAACAAAACTTTACAAAAGTTTAAACAAAATATAAGAATTCAAAAAATGCTCATCGATTGGAATTAGTTTATGTACTGTAAGATTATCTTCGTTACGATGTCAATAAAAAATGTTTTGATGGCTGCGAAATCGATGTTGAAAAAACGTCAATAGTACATACATACATATGTAAATGAATACATACAACATGGCTTCCGTAAGTTGTTTAAGTTATAAGGAAAAATGTGCAAAAATTGTGTTCTTGTTGAAATACTATTTTTTTTTTTTAATAAGGTAAAATGTGTTTTTAAATACTTGTCAACTAACTTAAATTAATTCAAAGTCTTAATTACCTACAGTACAGTTATTTGCATAACTCTATTTTTAATTTAAAAGTAAAAGTTATATTCTATAAATCTATGCCTTCATTGCGTCTACGTACATAATTGAAAGCATAAAAAACTGGCCTTAGCGCTTAGAACGATTTCGAGATTTTTTGTTTTGTTCGGCACAGTCGATGCTTGTTTTTTCAGTGCAGACCGCATTTAATGCCAATAATTTCATTATAAATGCATTTTCTTCTTTTCATTTACTAATGCGCAGCGACACAGCTTATCGTGACGGATGCAGGTGCAGTAGTGGCGCTTATTCGTAATTCAGGTGGAAGAAAAACTCGCGTCGTACTCGTCACTTTTACACGGCAATTGGGACAGTGGATGCATCTATAAAATAAAAGATGGAAACAAATTACTTAAAATATAGCCCATACATCAAGTGAAGTGCTCTTCGAACTTACCTCGCCGCACATTCTGCACAGGTGGTTATATGCGAGCAGGGATTGAACATAGTATTGATTTCACGATCCATACAAATTTTACAGGTCATCGCTTCGGAAACGCGCGCTTCCACACAACGTGCAATGGCCGCATCACGTTTCTCCTTTTCACGCAGCGCCAAGTCTAATTTATCGCTAACCACACAGATATCATCGAAATGCGGTGCTTCTCCTGCCAATTGTTGCGGCGAAGGCGAACTCGTACTGTGCGTTTGAGCAACACCGCCGAGTAGACTATCGTAGAGATCTCCATTGCCGCCGACAGCACTGTTATTTAATGCTTCGATACCCTTTTCGTGTAATATGCGACGCGCCTGATCATGCACTTCGCGGCAGGTGCGCTGAATGTCGAACACGTATCGCTTTCCCAATTCGGTATCCTCTTTGAACATGGAGGCGATGGTGCCCTTGAGATCGCGTGTGAATTGATTGGTGACCACGCCACGTACCTTATCACAGACATAGAAGGCATGACGCTCCGTTATGGAGCGGTAAAGACCAGCGGCAATAGCATGTTTGGGCAACTTGATTTCGAGTTCTCGGCGATCATTGCAATCGCCAACATATTCCAGCTTAAATGTGCGACGAAATGATTTAGCAGAGGCGATTGCGCTGAACGGGATGCTGTAAGAGTGATGAGAAAAAAAATATGGTTGATTAATGGGAGCGGTAAAAAATCAAGAACTAGCAATGAGTTGCAATGAAATAAAAAAAAACAAGCAAGTCGTGTGCAAAAACAATCGAAAATGAATTTATTCAGGAACTTCTTTGGAACTTCAACCAGCTCCTATCTATTCAAATTTTCTGACTACACAGAATCCCCTGCCTTTTTTTTAATTGTCTTGTACAATAACTTCATAAACAAGTAATTTTTAGCAAAAAAAACTACTTAAAAAAATATCTATATATCTCATGATTCAATGATCGGATCTAAACCAAATTAGTATGGGACACTACCTTTCCGTTGCAAAAAGAATTATCGAAATCGGTTAACGTGGTCCAAAGTTATGCGGTAACATACATAAAAAAAAATAAAATAAAAAAATTTCCGACGAACTGATAACCTCCTCCTTTTTTGGAAGTCGGTTAAAAAGGAATTTACAACTCAAAATACTTACACATTCTTTTCGTCTCCCACGCAGGTCGTGATCGCATTAGCGCCCACGGCTACATCGCAACGCACCGAACTCTCATGCGTCGTCACGCCGCTGAACACCTCCTCGCCGTAGCCTTCGAGATCCTGAATTTGCTTCAATAGCCAATATTTTGCCGATTTGGATGTCATTTTCAGTGTCGCCAGCTTGCCATGTTCCACTGCAATGCGATGATAGAAATCTTCCGGCATATCAGCGTCAACACCGTCATCGGCACACACCGGTTGGACAATATAGCTTTGATATATACACAACGGCGATGTCGACACTGTATCATCTTCTGTCACATCACTTCCCGACGCTGATGTCGTCGTTGTTGTTGCTAATTGTGACGTTGCGTGGGCATTACCGCTACATTTCATTGTCACAGACAAAGCAGTCGAACCTTCATCGGCAACAACGGCAGGCAAATGTAAATTTTCAATATGTTCTGTGGACTTTTGCTTTGAAAGGCGTCGCTTCTTGAACGACAACACATGTTCTTTGTCCTTGCGCTCCTTGTGTGAGTGTTGTTGCTGTGCGGTTACATCACCTCCGCTGCCTCTGCGCGCTTGTGTGGGACATTTCGCCTTCAGCGATAATGGATTGAAGCGTATACCATCAGCTTGGCACAACAACGCTGCCAATTTGGCCGCATTGTTCCAGTCATGTGCGCGCAGGCGCTTTTCCAGCAGATCGGAACGCGCTTGCATGTAGAAAATGTTACGCACACTCTCCTGGAGTAAACAGTGAACGGGCACCCAGAATTTGACGCGTAATGCGAGCATTAAATGTATGCTGCTGCTGCTGTTGTCACACGAAAGCCGATTACGTAGATTGATCCATTGGCGTGTGCGCGATTCCTCCTGGTTGGGTGTCCAGTACTCGAGGCCAAAATATTCCATTTCGCAGACGATGTCGAGTGCTTTGCAAACCTACAAAGATAAGAAGGGGGAAGCGTGGGTTAGAATTGTTGGCGTAAATGAGCTCTGTATTCAAGTGGACAGACAAATCGACGAAGATTGGCGCGTGAGATAAACGTGGAATGTGGATATGAAATGCATCGGAGTATGTATGTTTGTATGCATTTTAATTATCAAAATTGAGCGTGTATTTACAACAAATTTAAAACTAATACTAGTAATTTTCTTTAACTTAATGCGATATCAATAAAAGCTTATGAGACCAAGTTCACAAATATATTAAACTGTTTAAAGATAAGCGATATTTTGTTGATATCGCATAAATCGTTTTAGGCAATATACATATGTATGTAGTGTACTTAGTAACTAGCACATATTGATTGAGCGAAAATAGTTACTACGCAAAACACGGCAATAATAAATTAGGCGAAGGTGTAATAAATCAGTTAAAAAAAAAATACTTAATTTACAGGGGCTGGCACTGGTTGCTAAAGCCTCCCAAAAAGAGAGCTGAATAACAAAACAAAATAACAGTTGAAACAAGTAATTTTTAAGCAAAAAACAAAACCGACTTCAATTCTCAAATAAAAATTTAAGAGATGATCGTATCTATGTACGTGACCACCACTTGGATACCAGCTTTCCTCTAAAAAAAAGAATTATAGATCTCGGTTAACGTGGTCCAAAGTTATGCGGTAACATACATAAAAAAAAAATATTTCAACGAATTGATAACCTCCTCCTTTTTTCGAAGTCGGTTAATAAAGCAGTTTTTTCAAGGCCTTTCTTGGAGATAATATATTTAGAAACACGTATTTTCCCTTCACTTTCGCCATATAACTGTGTGAAACGCCTTAAGGAAGTGAACAAATTTAATTTATTTATCTAATTATGTATTCATTTTATTTTACTTTTTTTGTAATTGTGTAATTTTTTTTGTTATAAATTTTTTTTTTAAATATTCTTTCTTACTTTTAAAAATTTTTAACTTTTATTTTTTTTAGATTTGAAGTATTTGATTTTTTTTTGAATTTTTGAATTTCCTATTTCTTTTTAAATATTTTACTTTTTTTAATTTTTTTACCTTTTAATTTTTAATTTTTGATTTATTATTTTTCCTTTTTATTTCTTAATTATTTTTGAATGTTGAAACTGATTTTTTTTTTAATTTAGTTCATCAAATATTTGTAAGAACTTAATTCTTAGTACATTTCTTTTGCAATTTTATGCGAAAATTTTATCATTTTCTCCTTCTTCTGCGAGTAATCAGTTGTGAAGCAGCACGCACGGTCTTAAGTCAATTCAATTTGTGTTTGAAGCGGTTAGCTTGGAGAATGGGGAGGTTAGCTTGCAAGAAAAAGTGCGCAAGTAATTTTTAAAATATTTGAAAGTCTTTTAGCAAAACTACGAAACATTTTCCAAGCTCTTGTTATTCAAATTCAAAACTTTCGCTTTCTTTTCTTTAACTCTATAATTTTGGAATTTATTTGATTTTTCAACGCTGGCTTCATACTTTTGTGCAAAACGCAATTTTAACTCCATTAATTTGCGTCTTAATTCAAATATGGGTCTTGCTTGCAGTCGATTTAGTGATTCTTATTTTTTTTTTGTTTCTTGAACTCATAAACCGCCAAAGTCAACAAAACTGCAAACGAAGTAGAGCACAATATGCGATGACATCAACCTGCGAGCGAGTGGAGATCAAAAATAAACCGAATATTTATGTACATACATAGGTATGTATGCAGGTAGTCAGTCACGTCGCCGAACTTGTGGGTGCGGCTGTCTGTGTGCCATAAAAAAAAAAAAATTTTTCTTGTTTAAATAAATATCACTGCTCTAAAAAGTGCGATAAAAAGGCAATTTTATTGCAAAGTAAACTTTTAAATTATAATAGGTATTCTCTTGAAAAATATTTCAATTTAACTGCGGAGCATTGTTATCTCGAGCTGGTATATACATACATATGTATGTATGTAGTTGCATACAATAGCATGCACGAAGCTAATAAAGATTCCAGGTGAGATACTATTTGAATAGAAGTATCTATGTGAAAATTCAATGTACATACAAACTTTATTATACCCATTTTTCAGGCAAAAGGCTGGAAGTTAAGATTTTTTGCTATTTTGCTAGCCGCTGTTAGCTAAATGGTACTGCCGCCATCCAAAAATATCTATATACATATGTATTTACATATAAAAATATCAAAATTTAAAATTTATATGGGGCACCCACAAAAATTACAAAATTTTAACGCATTTTTATGGGTCGCTACCAGAGTTGTAAAACATTCAAAATTAAAAAAAAAATCGAAAAACTTTGAAAATTCATATAAATTCATAAACTCGCCGATTCATAGCTGGTCAATGTCGAATATTGTCAAACTTTTGTGATTTTAAAAACATTTTGAATTTTTTTAAACCCTGGTAGCGCCCTAAAAATGTGTTTAAAATTTTTGTGAATGTCTTTATTTTTTTCGTAGAACAAAATAAAATGGGTGCCACTTGATGTTGATATTTTAAGAACCACCCTAAAATGTACATATGTATGTATGTAAATAAGGAGCACCTATAGGCGCATGTGCCCAGTTAAGCTTCCATGTCTGTCTGCTTGCATGCGCACTTCCAGCACGTTTTTTTTTTGCTACTTCTCTGCTTCTTTTTCTACTTAGCTTAAAGTTTTAGAGCTTACTCTTTCTTTCCTCATACCTTCAAAGGTATTGTATTTGTGCAAAATTTTGCTATTGTTTTGGACTTGTTAGTACATATTTCATACTAGCGTTTCAAAGCGCGAGTAGACCATACCATAGACTGTGGCAAGCCAAGCCAACCCGTATGTCTGGCTTTAAATGACATACATACATATGTACATACCCACAAGGGGGGTTTTGTTGTCAAACTCGTGAGTTTGAGCGGGTTAAAGCCGTTTCAAAACAGATGTGCGATCAGATAGACACACACATACAAAAAAGGCACCAATAAAATCTCGAATTACTCCTACAAGCCAAAAGAGAGCGCACGAGAAAAAGTACGAGTATTTGATGAGTCTTCAGTATTTTGAAGAGATACACAATTGCTGTGTGCGCAAAGTGTATATCTATTACAAGAGCGCAACATGCGTTGATCGCTGCGAAAGATCTCTGCTGATTCATTTTGATTGTTATTTTTTTTTTTATTTTTTTGAGCGACTCGCTGGCTTTTTTTTTTTTTTTTTTGTTTTTTTATTGTTGGCGCTGAGGCTTCTTCATTGGACATTGTACCCAACGCTGGTAGTTGTTGCGGCAAGAGAATGAACTTAACAATACTTGTTTAGTAGATATTTAAGTATGTAAGCCAATAACAACTATGTAGGTGAGAGAAAAAAGTTGTTTAATGAAGAGAATTTCGTGAACAAAACAGAAATGAAGTGTAACACTCACGCACGCGCATGCACACACACACACACACCTAAAGGCACACATATATATATTTATATATATATATATATCTGTACGAAAGTATATATAGTATACGAAGCAGCATGCTGTGTGTGAATGGTAAAATTGGACTTTGTACCGCGACCCAAACGAAAATTGGACTTTGTACCCATTCACATATGAACTCAACTTAACGCGATTTTCGTTTTTTTCGACGTTTTTTTTTGTTTGTATTTAATTAGGCGGTTGCCGTGTGTGCGCGACATACTCATGCTGCCGCGTGTTAATGGGTTGGTCATACAGGCAGTGTTGCCGTTAATTTGGAATTTGTACATTCGTTACGTATGTCTTGTTTATTTTAATAAAAGTGTAATTAAACAGTGTTTGTTGTTAGGCGTCTGAAATTAAATAGCTGCAAATGTATGACTGTATATATTTACACAAGCACACTCCACTTCTGTATGAAGTTTTATTTTCATTGAGTTTGCTAATTTGTTGACACCGTTGACGTTCTTTTCCTGTTTAAAAATTAGTAGGTACATTTTTTATTATTTTGCAACTAAATTAAAGTTTAAGACCTTGAGTTGCATTAATTACTTTTTTCAGACCTGCACAATGAACATAAATGTTTGCTAATTGTATGGAGATTAATTGAACATTTTTAAACTGTAAAATATGCTGATAAGAGTCGTGCAAAGCTTAACCCTTTTAGGCCTATAAGTGAAGTGAATAGGAGGTTGTATTCTAAATATGTACATATTAAGTGCTAATTAAACCAACCGTAACGGTTATGAGCTTTGTAATACAAATTACCGTTAATATATGATTGCCATTTTTTTATCAAGAATAATTGTTATTTTTGGACTTTTATTTTTTTATTCGATTTTTTTTTTACAGTTTCTTCGATCAATTTTGGACTATTATTATTTACTCATTAAGTTTTTGAACGTAATTTTCAAATATAATTCTTTAAGATCATAAAAGATTTAAATCAGCCATAAAAACGTAATCTGCAGCATGTATAGTTAAAAATTTCCGAAAAAAAACCTAAAAAACCAGAATAACAATTATTTATTATTTGAAAAAAAAAAAAATCTCAAAAAATCTATTAAATTTTACCGTTAAATAAAAAACCAAATTTACCGATTATTGGAATAATTTTGCCCTAAAATAATTATATTTTTCAATAGTAGCAAACAGACAGGTATGCAAGTAATTGGAAACGGACAGGTTTTAAAATAGTTGGAAATAGACAGGTATGGAAAAGGTTAGAAACAGAGAAATTTTAAAATATCTAGTTGGAAACAAATGGAATTTAAAATAGTTGGAAATGGACTAAAAAAAAATATTTTAATGTCATTTCAGCCAAATATACATATTTTAATGTAGTTGAAAACAAATGCAGAGTCGGATAATTGACTTGCTCCTAGGACACGTTAATAAAGTAAGTTGCTTGCAAGAAAAAAGGAGGAATTCCAACCACTTGTAGTTCGCAAAAAGGTAATTTTAGATTGCCTTTAAAGTACTTCCATTTCCGACAGGGTCTTGACCACAAAAAAATAAAAATCAAAAAATACCATTTTGCGATGATCTA